TAAACATTCTCAAATCAATATACATTTTCTTGAGATGCAGAATTATAAAAAGTCTTTAAGATAAGAAGTCTTGTTTTCAAAATCAGGTGAGTTTTGGCTGAAAACAAGAACAAATGTCTGCCATTGGGGTCTGAAAAAGAAACTTAATTTAAAAGGAAAAAGTTTTTTTCCCCCATTGGCAGATATTTTTCAGTTTTTAATCTCACTGACTAAATATCTTGTGTCGTTTTACATCTCAAGTAAGTGTACAAAGTACATCTCTACATATCTTGATTTAATAATATTTAGTACATGAATTGACTTCTTTCAGGACATTTCTAAGATGTTTGTTCCAGTGTTGTTGTACTCAAGTCTAGACAAAACCAAACTCGGACTAGTGTCTGTGTCCAAGACCATATTGTCAGGAGCATTTGGATTCAGTCTGGAGACTCGAATGAGCTGGTCTTGAGCAGTTATCAAAATATGGTCTTGGACTCAGACCTGAGTACTGCAACACTGGTTTATACACAATATCGAACCAGAGAGTTCAAGAAATATCATCGCTATGATGTTACTGAATATCTGTGCCAGGCAAGCAATAATTGCAAACAATTATTTTCTTACATCCTCAAAACTAAAGATTTTAAAAGAGGGTTTTATACAGCAATGCAATAAAAGAAACAGTTTTGGTTCACCCAAAAACTTTCAGTAAACAGTTCTTAGAACTATTTTGAGAAAAAAACAAGTGTGAAGAAAATTCTAATAATGTAAAGTACCTTTTCCACTATAAAGAACATTTTGTGTAATGAAAAGTTTCCATGTATGTTAAAAGTTGTTCATGGAATAATCAATGAAAAAAATAGCGTACTTTGTATTTGTCTTGTTTCCAAGTACAAATATCTAAACATTCTCAAATCAATATACATTTTCTTGAGATGCAGAATTATAAAAAGTCTTTAAGATAAGAAGTCTTGTTTTCAAAATCAGGTGAGTTTTGGCTGAAAACAAGAACAAATGTCTGCCATTGGGGTCTGAAAAAGAAACTTAATTTAAAAGGAAAAAGTTTTTTTCCCCCATTGGCAGATATTTTTCAGTTTTTAATCTCACTGACTAAATATCTTGTGTCGTTTTACATCTCAAGTAAGTGTACAAAGTACATCTCTACATATCTTGATTTAATAATATTTAGACAAGATTTTTTTTTTTTTTGCAACTCTTGAAAATAAAGGTTCTTTATCGTAATTGATGGTTCTATCAAGAAAATGTAACATTCAAGCAAACTTTCCATTCCAACATTTAAAAAAAAAAGTTATTTTAAGAAGTTTTTTTTTGGAACCTTTTTAAGAGTTTACTGGCATCTGTGGTTGCATTAAGACCCTATGTACATTTCATATTTATGGAACTTTTCAACTGCATAAAAGGTTCTACAGAGGGAAAAGGTTCTTTAGATTATTACAATGTTCTTCTTTTAAGAACTGATCACTGAAAGGTTATTTAGGGTTTTCATTTCTGTGAAAACCCCATTTTGGAACTTTTAATTTTAAAAGTGTATAGAAGCTAATAATAATTTGATATTGACCCTTATTGCCTAAATATGACACTGAAAATAAAACATGTCTTACATATGACGCTTTTACCAGGAACGTCTTTATCAGTGAAGATTTATGTGACATTTTATCATTTCTGTGCAAATACACTGAAGAACCTTCCATCACCAGAGCTCACTAACACAGCACTGATGCCCCTCTGAACTCATTCACCGCCTCTTTCTCGCACCATCACAGCCACAATTGGCTGGAAACAGTGATGGATGAAACGGGAGAGAGGAGCAGGCAGCGAGGGCAGCCCGGTCACCTGCCGGTCAGAGAGCAGTGACCACACTTCCCGGCGGGTTTGCAGGGATGTACGTACGCGAGTTTACACACGACGTGTGCATGTACGCATCTGAACAAAGAGCTTCCTCAGCACCGGTTTCCAGGAGAAATATGAACATTCTTTTCCTGTTATAAATGTTTCTGTGTAGAGGAGTGTCTTTACTGTGTGTGCGTGTCGGTCAGAGAGCGATGGCCATGGCTGCCTGCGCTCTCACAAGGGGGTTCATTACGGCGAGTGACAGGGCCTCCTCTAAAACGCCGTCTGAGGAATACACACTCTGCGTGGGACAAAATAAACACCCGGCTTCGAGTGGGGGCACCATAAATTATTTCTATCACCGGCAGAACAGCAGAGACGCTCTTAATATCGCTACCTGCTCGTCTGGACGCATAAAAGATGATTTATGTCTTATGGCCACATTAAATTTCACTGCAATTGGGCCGCGTGCCTTCTGGGGTCTGGGGAGACACAAAATGGTGGTTATAAACTGCTGCAGTTGTTCTCTGGAAACACAGAACCGAGTGGAATGTGGCCCAGCGGAGTCTTCTGGCTTTTGTTTATTTCTACACAACACGCCTTACTCAAGCTCTTCCGGTTCTGTCAGTTCTTCGTGATCTGTAGGTGATATAGAGATAGCATTTTATTTTTGTTTAAATGCAACCGTGCGGATTCTTTAACGGCTGAAAAAATGTAGATAAACACCAACCAAACAAAACAAGCTTACGTACACGAGTCTGCTGGTCATTCCAGCTCTGTGCTTGAAAAACCTGTGGAAACGTACAAATAGAGCTGGATGAGAACCGAATGTATCAGGATGGCAGAACAGAAGAGTTTCATCATTTGTAAAAACTTGCATAAGCATATGCACGAAAAGAAAGACACCGAACATCATGCTAGAATACTCAAACTATCTTAATATTTCATGTGCCCATTAAAAATGTCTGATTTTGTGTTCAGCATGCGATGAACCCTAGAGGCCTGTTCAGTAGATGAAATACAGCATTAATCCCATGTTTATTTCCATTTTGAGCGAGGGATGATGTTTATTGAGCTGCACAGTGATGCATCCGGAATGCGCTTGGGCTTGTTTGAGCCTACGATACACAAATAATCCAATATGAAACTACATGCACACAGAGACAGTGAGATATGCGTCATCAGTAACAGGTCGTTCAATTTGATTAACCCAATAATGGCCAGATTTTCCTGAAGATATCTCACACTGAATCCCACATACTGGATGTTTTTACAAAACTTGGATTGAACCGCTTAATTAGGGTGACCATATTTTAGTTTTCCAAAAAGAGGACAGTGGGGGGCGGGGGAAGGAGGCAGAGGGTTTTGCCTAACACTGTATAAGTAGCAAGATTTTTATTTAAATTTTTTAGAATAAATAAAAAGAAAACAAGTCAATAGAACAGAAAAAAATAGACAATGATTGTGTTAGAAGGTCATTATTTATAATAAATAAAAAGAAAACAAGTAGAAAGAATAGAGAATGCTAGTGTTAAAGGCTCTTTTCTTTTTTAATAAAACAAGTAGTTAGAATAGAAATAGAACAGAGAGTGCAAATGTTAGAGGGTCAAGTTTATTTAATTAAAAAAACAAGCAGATAAAATTAGAATTAGCATTAGTATAAAGAGTGCTAGAAGATGAAAGAGATGTATTTTCAGCCGTTTCTTGAAAATGATTAAACTCAGCTTCATTCCACCAGGAGGGAACAGTTAATGAAAAAGTCCATGAAAGTTTTATCACAGGTTGAACTTGAATGCAAAATATTTCAATACAGGCGTTTCAGTCAAATGTAATTTATGCAATATTTCAAACCTTTAACCCACTTGGGAAAACAAACCCATGGCAACAGTTTAAAAGTAGCCCAATTCTGTGGGGAAAATGTGGACTTGGCAATCCAGCATCCAACAAGAGCTGCAGGAGTCAGATTTGACTGATCACAGGTCGAGAATAAGGAGAGATGACTGACAAGTCCATGCTGGAGCATTTGCTGCTCAACAGATCCTGAGCTCACTGACAAATATCTGATCTTGTAAGATGTGCTCCCTTTACACAGTGCGTGTGATTGCGAAATTGAAAGTGAAAGTGAACAGCGCGAACTCTCAAAAAAGATTTAAATACACCGCATCCTGAGAGCGGCTCCCTAATGTGCCAAAATGATATACAATATTAGAATGTTTAAAGGAGTGGACACGAAAATCGCGGGAGCGAAACACATGTTGCGGGAGCAGGCGGCAATGGTCAGAAATTTAGCGGGAGCGGGACAAAGAAAACAGCCGAATCCCATTCATTTTGGGTGATTAAGAATTTACGCATTTTTTTAGGACATGTCCGGGGAAAAGAGGACGTATGGTCACCCTAGCTTAATTGATATGCATTCATTTCACAATGCCTTTATGATCTGGTTATCTGGACTTTCAATTAAAAATACCATGATTTGTGCTTTGAACATGGGTTTGGAACAACATATGAGGGCGAGTTAATTTCATTTCTTGGTGAACTATCCCTTTAAGTGTATTTTCCACATGAAGATGATTTAATGCACAGCAATTTTAGTGACAAATGCACACATTTTTCTATGTAGGAACTCATGCAAACAATAATAAGGGATTTTGCCCACCAGCCACTAAAGTTCCCATGTGCATTTCAGGAGCAAATACCCAAAAATGGCACAGTGAATTAAACACCACACTGCATATCATCCAGCAAGATGTCAAAAGCCCTTCCTGAAGCTGTCTACTCATATATTGGCTGTTTTTTAAAACATCTACAGTGCAAAAAATGGGAAAAGAATGGCAGGTTTGGCATTGCCTACATCTATTATTATGAATATGCCTCATTTACACACAGACATCATTTTATAGCATCATTCTTTCAGAAAAAAGATCAGTGAACAAGTACAAGGCTTTAATATCATTTTAAACCATAAAAGCCCTTCAAACTAATAGGAATCTCTCAGTGCCTTTTCTAATTTCCTGACATTTGCACTCATTACTCATTTTTAATGGAATATAATGGTCGCGGCTGGTGGCGAAGGGACCCCGTTCTACCTCTCATGCCGACACAAACAAAACTATGAGAATAAAAAGGCTTTCCACTGAGATCAATGCTAGCGGAGGAGAGGAGAGACAGGTCTATTTCTTTTCCTCACTCGCTCGCTCGGGACTTGGCAATCCAGCATCCAACAAGAGCTGCAGGAGTCAGATTTGACTGATCACAGGTCGAGAATAAGGAGAGATGACTGACAAGTCCATGCTGGAGCATTTGCTGCTCAACAGATCCTGAGCTCACTGACAAATATCTGATCTTGTAAGATGTGCTCCCTTTACACAGTGCGTGTGATTGCGAAATTGAAAGTGAAAGTGAACAGCGCGAACTCTCAAAAAAGATTTAAATACACCGCATCCTGAGAGCGGCTCCCTAATGTGCCAAAATGATATACAATATTAGAATGTTTAAAGGAGTGGACACGAAAATCGCGGGAGCGAAACACATGTTGCGGGAGCAGGCGGCAATGGTCAGAAATTTAGCGGGAGCGGGACAAAGAAAACAGCCGAATCCCATTCATTTTGGGTGATTAAGAATTTACGCATTTTTTTAGGACATGTCCGGGGAAAAGAGGACGTATGGTCACCCTAGCTTAATTGATATGCATTCATTTCACAATGCCTTTATGATCTGGTTATCTGGACTTTCAATTAAAAATACCATGATTTGTGCTTTGAACATGGGTTTGGAACAACATATGAGGGCGAGTTAATTTCATTTCTTGGTGAACTATCCCTTTAAGTGTATTTTCCACATGAAGATGATTTAATGCACAGCAATTTTAGTGACAAATGCACACATTTTTCTATGTAGGAACTCATGCAAACAATAATAAGGGATTTTGCCCACCAGCCACTAAAGTTCCCATGTGCATTTCAGGAGCAAATACCCAAAAATGGCACAGTGAATTAAACACCACACTGCATATCATCCAGCAAGATGTCAAAAGCCCTTCCTGAAGCTGTCTACTCATATATTGGCTGTTTTTTAAAACATCTACAGTGCAAAAAATGGGAAAAGAATGGCAGGTTTGGCATTGCCTACATCTATTATTATGAATATTTTTTTTTTTTTTTACTTTTATAATATTTCAAACAAGGATTTTTGTGTCAACACTCAAGGTTTGTCTCAACTAACTTTGTTTTTCTTTTCTTTGAATTTCATTACATTTCAATGCAGTTTGTCATCAAACAGCACTTTGCAATTCAATTCAAATTCAGGAATTTAATCATAATTTAAAGGGGTCATGTTGCTAAAAATAACATTATTTTGTGTATTTGGTGTAATGAAATGGGTTTATGCAGTTTAAGGTTAAAAAAACACATTATTTTCCACATACTGTACATTATTGTTTCTCCTCTATGCCCCGCCTTTTGAAACGCGTCGATTTTTACAAAGCTCATCGGTCTGAAAAGCGAGGTGTGCTGGGATTGTCCAGCTATCCAGTGCGTTGTGATTGGCCGAATACCTCAAGCGTGTGACGGAAATTTTACGCCCCTCACCATACTGTGATGCCGTGTCCCAGCTGGAGCGATCATTCAAAACCATGAAAACCCATTATAAACGAGGCATTCGTTGCATCCGGTGGGGACATAATTACGAATTATAATGACTTATACTGTCTTTTTAATTGTTGCGTTGCATCGCGCCGCGGGTTCTATATCATTGAATACTGATTTGGTATGGATACTGAATTGGTAACAGCCTATTGTCGTATTATTCTAATTTATTTAATGTAAGAATTTAACATTAAAAATGACATAAAAAAGGTAAAAGGTAAAAAAATTAAATTAAATTAATTAATTAATAAAAAACTGAAAATCAGTTGCCCCTTATGTGAAAGTTAATTTCTGATACTGCTGACACTGGCTTATTGTTCGAAGTGTTATTTCAGGGTTTGGATATGTTCTTATAACTCAAACGAGTTCACCTTCAAATCATGACGTCAAATTCACATTTCACTAAAGTCAATCACTGAAACAAGCACTGTGAGGAACAAATAGTCCCATGCGAGTGGGATAATAACAGATGATTTCCTACATTTGTATAAAGTGCTCTATGAATAAAACTCAAAATAGAAAAATAATAGATGTGCTGTGAAGGTAAATTACACAAAGTCATTTATTTTCATATCTGTAATATTATTTAAGTTCCTCCTTTGTCTAAAATGCAGCGTATTGTCTAAAACAAAAGTTATGACTGTTTGTTCACATAAATTGATAGTGGTCGATACATTCTCCCCGTCCTGCAGTGCGTCGCAGCTTTGCCACACAGATTTTGATAGGTGGATAACTATAATAAAACAGGCATGCCTAGGGCCAAAAGGCTCTGCTTCAGTATGGTTTGTGTCAAGCCATTCATTAATCTGGCTGTTTGATGAAGAGATCAAATGTAGTAGAAATAAACATGTTAAGAATCAATAGAAGCGGAGGACTATTATTAAGGTTTTTTTTAGGACTATTATTATGTTGTAATGTTTGGTTGACCAATTAGCAGAGAGGGGCATTTCATTCCCGCCCACATGTAGAGACCGAATATTCAAGTTGTTTATTAGTTTTCTATCCCTGAATGTAAAAACGAAATATGTGCCGTTTTTCATTTTTCAGATTTCAAACAAGCTGATGAAGATGTTTTCTTAATTTGCTGGTGTTTTCTTAAGTTGCAGCGCGTTGAGCTCTCTCGGCCACCGTAAAAAGGTGCAAAAGGAAAACAAAGTCTAAATTAAAGCTGCAAGCAGCGATGAAAGGGCCCTCACACACGGGCTCACTACCACCCGGTGGCTTTAAGAAAACAGCAAACGATGGGCAATATGCGTTTAAAGTGATAAATATAGGAGGAATATATCAAAGTCATTTATATGTGGCAAACTTCCTGCTGCCAGCTGGTGGCGCTATGATTATAACTGAATGTTGGCATGTAGATGTCTTCAGACCAGGACTTTTATCAAACATGTGAAGTCTGGTGCAGATTGAACATGGTATGTTTGAGTTAGAGTAAAGCATGACATATCCTGTTGCCAACAGGTGGCGCTATGATTGTAACTGAACATTGACGTGTAGATGTCTTCAGGCCAGTATTCTTACCAAACATGTGATGTTTGGTGCAGATTGGACATTGCATGTTTAAGTTAGTGTAAATAAAGTAATTTCCTGTAGCCAGCAGGTGGCGCTATGGTTATAACGGAATATTGGCCTTAAGATGTGTTCAGGCCAGGACTTTTATAAAACATGGGACGTTTGGGGCAGATTAGGCTTCCTGTTTCATGGTATTACTAGCATGCTTTAGTACTTAATAAGTGTTGCTAGCATGTTTGAGCACATTTCTATCATGTTCTTCAGGCCAGTATTCTTACCAAACATGTGATGTTTGGTGCAGATTGGACATTGCATGTTTAAGTTAGTGTAAATAAAGTAATTTCCTGTAGCCAGCAGGTGGCGCTATGGTTATAACGGAATATTGGCCTTAAGATGTGTTCAGGCCAGGACTTTTATAAAACATGGGACGTTTGGGGCAGATTAGGCTTCCTGTTTCATACTTGCTTATTAATGCTTTAGTACTTAATAAGTGTTGCTAGCATGTTTGAGCACATTTCTATCATGTTTAGCACACAATGGCATATTTTACTGTGTTGCTAATAGTGCATCACAGTGTTAAACATGTCACTTCCTGTTGCCAGTAGGTGGCGCCAGTGGCAGATCTAGAAAATCATTTTTAGGGTGGCAAAGGGGTGGCGTGGGGTCTATGAGGGGTGGCAACACCAAAGCAAGCCCCCATGCATAGTTTTTGGGGATTTATGGTCTGACACAGTTGTGATCACAAATATTGTATTACCATTAAGTAATCATCGATACTGTTTAAAATGAAAAATAACATTTCAATATCCATCATGGCACCAAGTCAATGCACAATATTTACAATTAAATACAATACAATACAATACAGGTTATAAATGTTTCTGAGCTTGTATCACTAAAGACATGCGGTTCTATTAAAATTGCATAGGCTACATAGATGGTATAATCACATTTAGTGCAAGTTTAAGAGCAACAAAAACGTTTGAATTTCCTAACATTAGAAAGAAATACAATAATATCAAAGCACTGAAACTGAATCAGTTTTGAAAACAATGTTTGATTTTCTGTTATTAACAGAGGTGGGAATGTCTGTAATCACCCAGAACAAACTCTATCAACCATATACTCTAACAACACCCCAGCAACTGCATAGCAAGAGCCTAGCAACCACCCAGAATATCCTAGCAACCAACTAGCAACACTTTAGCAAACATCTAGAACATCTAAATGACCAAACCATTTACGATTTTTAAGCCAGCATACATTTGTCTTTCAAACTTTTCAAGGTATTACAGATTTTCTTAGTTTTTTTTCAACTGCTTACATACATCTTCAAAACTTTGCCTCTTTTTTCTAAACTTTACACACAAATCCACACAAAATGCAAAATGCCTCACATCTCTTGCAAAATGAAGCACTGCATTCAAAATATCACAAGCACATCTCAAAAGCAAACATTTGCAAACACCTTTGCCATAATATTAATTCCTGTTAGATTTGTGTGTGTTACATAGAGAATTGTGTGTTGTGTTTTGCAAAAAAAGTGTTTTATGAAATTGAAAACTGAGTCAAAGGCTCAGAATTAGTGTATGGTTTTGCAGATTTGGTGTGTGCTTCTGCTGTTTGAGTGTCAGGTTTCAGAAATTGTGTGACAAGTAAAGATTTTGTGTGTAAGCAGTTGAAAAAAAAACTGTAAATGCTTACACACAATTCAAATACACAGATGACTTTCCTTCTGTAAGGGTGGTTTCCCTACAGTGGTTCAGGCTGTAGGATTGCCGAATGACTAAAGAAACGTTATCAGCACGATGGTATAAAACTGTACATTTCTAGTCTATTTCCACCCACTGCCACTTATACCAATGACGGAAATAAGTGCAGTTAGAATAGCTAAATATGTGGGAGAGCGTTGCTATTGAGCGACTATATTGTATTGCAATAGGTAGCACTTTAATATTAACCTTGAATCAAGACTAGTTAGCACTAGTTAGTTGGTTTAATAACACTTTTTTGTTATGGTTACACTTGAATTGGTTACAAAATTGATGAAGAATGGTAAAACATATACAGTTAAAGGTACCCAGCATGTATGTAAAATGTTACCTGAGGGAGAGAGAAAGAGCGATAGAGAGATATAGAGAAAGAGAGAGAGATGGCAGAGCCCCAAGAAGAGAGTCCCAGCAAAGAAAGAGCAAAGAAAAAGAGACAGATCAACGGTTACAGTCTTCTTTTATCCCTTCCTTGACCATGTGACTATAAACCAAATGTGAGACATTCAAACTGACCAGTCAGTGGATTACAGCTTCACCCACTGTGCAAAAGGTGTGACAATTAGCAGACCCCCGATGTATGCACATGTTGGCCTACAGGCCTTGATCGATATCAGCACCCCTGTGTCTTCAGGAATTCCAAATGGCCTTTTTGTTGCTCAAGATATGCTTGGGACAAGAAAAGCAGAAGTCTTTGATTATTTTTGACCCTACATCCGTGTGACGCAGCTGACACAGTTTGGTCAGTTTGAATGTCTCAACTGAAAATTGAGTGTTTACTATTATCATTTTGCATTATTGACATAATATTTTCCTAATTAATGCTGTACAGTTGCTTTCCCACAATCTGCATTGTTAAAAGCGCTATATAAATAAAGGTGACTTGACTTGACTTGACTTGACTTGACTTGACTTGACTTGACTTGACTTGACTTGACTTGACTTGACTTGACTTGACTTGACTTGACTTGACTTGACACAGACCAGCATACGCTGTTTACATCCAGCTGATTCTCTCCAAAATGGCCCCAGGGTGACGCGGAGGAGACGAATTGTTGAATAAAGTCGTTATTTTTGTTTTCTTTGCGTACAAAAAGTATTCTCGTAGCTTTGTGAAATTACGGTTGAACCCCTGAACATCTTTTGCATAGTTTTTTGTAGTAATTCAATTGTTTTAATATGAATATTGTTTTAATACTGTTCAGTACAGTAATTGTCTATACATCTAAATCAGTACTTTAAACTTTTTTTGTCTAAGAGCTTCGTATAACAACTTAACAAAAAAATATCAGTAACATAAAACAGTAAGATATTTAATTATGTATTGTGTAAGATGCTTGTAATCATTGCTTTATTGGTATTCATCATTTCTGCTTAAATAGAGTCATAATCTACTTATATGATTTGTATTATCTAGGACAAATACTGTGGCATATGGACATTACTCTTTTTATTTGTAACAAAGAAACATGCATTTTCTGTAAAGCTGTTTGAATACTTTCCGTACCCACTGTATATATATATATATATATATATATACAAAATGAGCTGGCCCAGATCTGGCATGGTGCTGGACCAGATCCGGCCCACATTTGGGCCAAATCATCATAAAGGAATCCGCATCTGGTCCGGAGCTGGCCCAGTTCTGGTCCAGATCTGGAAAAACGGATCCGTGCCGGTATTTAAACCCACTCTTAATCCAACTCTTTTAGAGAACTACAGACCAGTTTCCCTTCTACCTTTCATTGCAAAAACACTTGAACGAGTTGTGTTCAACCAAGTCTCTGCATTTCTCACACAGAACAACCTCCTGGACAGCAACCAATCTGGCTTCAGAAGTGGACATTTGACTGCCTTGCTCTCAGCTGTTGAAGCCCTAAGACTGGCAAGAGCAGCTTCCAAATCTTCTATACTTATCTTGCTGGATCTGTCCGCTGCTTTTGATACGGTGAACCACCAGATTCTCCTGTCAACCCTATTGGAAAATGGCATCTCAGGAACCGCACGCCAGTGGTTTGAGTCTTACCTCTCAGATAGGTCTTTCAAGGTATCTTCCTAATGTTGTATAAAGCAAATCTGCAGGACCGGGCAGTTTTAGCAATGTGGTCTGAGAAATTCAGCTTATCATCAGTCATAACACCAAGGTTTCTAGCTATTTTTGAAGGAGTTATGGTTGATGAGCCTAACTGGATGGTGACGTTTTGATAAAGTGATGGGTTTGTTGAAACCACAAGCAGTTCTGTCTTGAGCAAGGTGAGGTGTCCAAGTCTCAACATCTAGCTACTGGGGTGCCTCAGGGCTCAGTTCTTGGACCACTTCTCTTCTCTGTCTACATGGCATCACTAGGTTCGGTCATTCAGAAACATGGCTTTTCATATCACTGCTATGCTGCTGATGACACTCAACTCTACCTCTCATTCCATCCTGATGATCCGACGATAGCTGCTCACATCTCAGCAAGTCTAACAGACATTTCTTGTTGAATGATGGACCATCACCTTCAACTCAACCTGGCTAAGAAAGAACTGCTTGTTGTTTCAACAAACCCATCACTTTATCAAAATGTCACCATCCAGTTGCGTTATGGCTCATCAACCATAACTTCTTCAAAAACAGCTAGAAACCTTGGAGTTGTGATTGATGATAAGCTGAATTTCTCAGACCACATTGCTAAAACTGCCCAGTCCTGCAGATTTGCTTTATACAACATTAGGAAGATCAGGCCCTTTCTTTCAGAACATGCAACACACCTCTTGTTCAAGCTCTTGTTCTGTCCAGGCTGGACTATTACAATGCTCTCTTGGCAGGTCTTCCAGCCACTTCTATCAAACCTCTACAATTAATCCAAAATGCCACTGCAAGATTCATCTTTAATGAGCCGAAAAGAACGCATGTCACACCTCTGTTCATCAATTTGCACTGGCTACCAGTGGCTGCTCGCATTAAATTCAAAGCATTAATTCATTACTTCAGAGTTATATGCCCTCTAGAAGCTTGCATTCTGCAAGTGAATGACGCATTATTGTGCCATCCCAAATAAGCACAAAATCACTTTCACTGACTTTTACATGAACTGTTCCCTCCTGGTGGAATGACCTGCCCAACTCAATCCGAGCAGCTGAGTCCTTAGCCATCTGACTGACTGCTTTTATTGTCCTCATTTGTAAGTCACTTTGGATAAAAGCGTCTGCTAAATGACTAAATGTAAATGTCAATTTTAAATGTAGTGGCCCGCTGTGCCAAAAGACACCGGCCTGAGTCCGTTGCGCGGATATGGACCACATGATCGATGCATACAAATTTCAACCCATTTGTCCCCTCAACTTGGCAACCTAGAGCCCAGTGATGGCTATTGATATGTGGAAGGAAACAATGATGCTGCTGCTTGTTACTCAGTTTGTCTTCAGCGTGCACCCGAAATCTTTCATCGTATCCTGACTTGTAGTTATAAGCGTATGCCTTCACGTCGGTCCATTCCTTATTTTACCATTCTATCCCGCTATCATCCCGTTTAAATATTTTCCCGTATTTCTCCCGTATTTTTAATCTTTCTATTAAAAAAATCCCACTGGGCGTATTTTATGTGTTTGCTACATTCGCTTCCGGTAAAACTCCCCTTATTTGTATGGGCCAAACCTCATTATATGAATAATCACGACAAGAAATTCCAAGGTTGTCCAGTTGCCAAATCTTGTATGAAACGCATCTTTCTCACACAATCGATGCATACAAATTTCAACCCATTTGTCCCCTCAACTTGGCAACCTAGAGCCCAGTGATGGCTATTGATATGTGGAAGGAAACAATGATGCTGCTGCTTGTTACTCAGTTTGTCTTCAGCGTGCACCCGAAATCTTTCATCGTATCCTGACTTGTAGTTATAAGCGTATGCTTTCACGTCGGTCCATTTACATGGGCTTTCGCAGATGTAGAAAGGTGCGCGCTCCTCAGTATGTCCATCGCACCCGAGACAGTTCTCCTGGAATGGGTTGCACTTGAAAGTCACACTTGATCCCTCCTCTATTGTGATGGTGTTTTCGTACAGTCCTCTCACCGGCTCCACTTCAGTGAATGGCACCCATGAGAGTCCAGTTTCCTCACAACACTTTGCCAATTTGTTCTTTACCGTCTGATTTTCCCGTTCAATAGTGCCTCCGCTGGCGGCGTGATAGGCACAATGTGTTCTTATATCAATTCCTAAGAACTGACCCACCTGTTTTATTGCCTCATTGACAAAATGTGTTCCATTGTCAGAACTGATTTTTCTTGGAATTCCCCATCTTGGAACAATCTCTGTTAGCAGAGCCTTTGCTACTGCTGCCGCATCTTGTTTCGATGTTGGGAAAGCCTCGACCCATTTGGACCACATGTCAACCATCACTAAACAATATTTCTGTTTCCCACAAGGGGTTAATTCAATGAAATCGATCATTAAGTACTCAAACGGCCCTTCTGGGACTGGCTGGGATACCAGCTGCGTTTTGATGCCTCGTGCCACATTGTGTGTATTACAGATAACACATCTTTTGCAAAAATTCTCAGCGAATATTGTGAAGCCCTTGGTAAACCACAATTCTTTCATCTGTGCAATCATTCCCCCTTTTGATACATGGTCTAACCCATGTGTCAACTTAGCATAATGTTGAAAGAAATGTTTGGGTAAACAGGGCGTTCCAACAACGGATCTCCACACACTATCAACAAGGCTGCAGCCTGATGCTTTCCAGTTGTTTTTCTCAGCTCCTGTGGAAAAAGACTGCATGCTCTGTAAACAAGGAGAAATGTCAAGATTAATGTCAACTTGTGCGCAAGTGGCGCTTTTACTATTATCTTTAGTCTGATCCGCTGCCGCTGCTTTCGCAGCCATATCAGCTCTGGCATTTCCTGTTGAAATTAAACTTCTATCATTAGTATGCGCTGCGCATTTACAAATCGCAATTTTGTCTGGTAACAGAATAGCTTCGAGCAGGTCCGATACCAGAGACGCGTTTAGTATCGGCCTCCCATCTGATTTCAAAAATTTTCTGTGCTTCCACAAAGCCCCAAAGTCATGCGTGACCCCGAAAGCGTATCGTGAGTCTGTGTATATCGTCACACATTTATCTGCCATCAGTTTACACGCTTCGGTCAATGCGACCAGTTCCGCTGCCTGTGCAGAATAGTGTGATGGTAATTTGTCAAACTTCAGAGTTTCAAATTCAGTCGTTACAGCATAACCCACTTTATTCTGCCCTGTTTGTGGATCTTTCGAGGCAAACCCATCCACAAACAGGACATTGTCACAATTATCAAGCGGTAAGTCTAAAAGGTCTGGACGTGGTGTGCACACCTGTTCGAGCGCTGACAGACAACAGTGATGTTCCTCGCCATCCTCCTGTGTGGGCAGAAGGGTGGCAGGATTCAAAGTTGTGCATCGTTTCACAGTTATGTTTGGCATGTCCAACAAAATCGTATGATACCTCAGCCATCGGGCTGTAGACAAATGTGACGTTCTCTGCTCTTGCAAAATCATGGAGACTGCGTGTGGAACCATTAAAGTCAAATCAGAGTAGCCTACAAATTCTCTTGAGGCCATCACAGCTAGCTCGGCCGCTGCCACTGCTCTCAGGCAGTGTGGAAGTCCTGCAGCTACAGCATCAAGTTTCGTTGAGAAATAAGCCACAGGTCGCAGTCTGTCACCATGAGTCTGCAAGAGAACAGAAGACATAAAACCATTCTTTTCATCGACCATCTGTACAAATGGGCGGTTTATGACAGGAAGGCCTAACGTTGGAGCCATAGCCAATTTCAAAATCATCTCTGCCCAATCAACATCTTTTATTTGCCATTCGTAAGCCCACTGCGGCTCAAATTTAGAACATGTCATTTGTGGTGCTTCCTCAATGTTAATTCCATAGGAATCACCGTGCTACAGTCTGCAGCGAGGAGTACTTCCTTGTAGTATGTGCACTGCTGCGTCTGCCGCTGCTCGCGCTCCTCTCGCTTCTGCTTCTGCTCGTGCTGCCGCTTGTGCTGCATTTTGTGCTGGTCTTTGGAACGGAGAGCAGTCGAGATCGTGGTCCAGTTTCAGGGCTGTCAGCTCTGCCACGGGGTAGTGATGTTTATAAGCCGGCGGTGCTTACCCGATTTCGGGTGCATGTTGGAAAACACAAACACACTTTTCATTAGTAGCATTCTGCTCCGGTGGAGCTGATTTCTCACACACATCCTCTTCCACCTTTTTCATTTCATTCCTACATGCCAATTCTTTCTGCATTTGCTTTCGTAGTAGCATTCTGCTCCGGTGGAGCTGTTTTCTCACACACATTCTCTTCCACCTTTTTTTTCATTTCATTCCTACATGCCAATTCTTTCTGCATTTGCTTTCGTTCTCGTCTTTCAGCCTCTTCTAACCAACAACCTATAGTCTGCTCACATTCTTTACACACGTGACGAACACACATTCTCTAACCCTTCTGTTTTTCATTGTTCTTTTCAACTGACTCTCTCACAACATTCAGTTTTACTTTACTCAATGTCCCTTCTTCGGGAAAATCATGATATTTGATCAGCTTTTCTATGTCTAGCATACACTTATGCCCATAAATCTTTTTTTTTTTTGACCGAAAACTGGTGTATAAAAATTATCTAGCTTACTGTTTGGTGATCCCATACTGGCTGATTTCTATCTCTTCTGGATTTTCCTTCGACGCAGCTATAAGGTCATAAACAGCAAGACAAACCCGTCTTTTAAACAGGTTGTGTGACTGTACCATGTGAAGCCCATAAACCTGAATAACCAGTCCAGGCCACCCATAACCTGAAAGGCCAAGCCCACCATTGCTCAGATATATTAACTTTAGAACAAACAGATTTCTACTTCCATGCATACTTTGTGTGAACAGCATTTATAACTATTCACACTTACTGTAATAAAGATGCTGCTATTTATACTTGGTACAAACAGTATCACTACACTGTAAATAATTTCAAGCTGTTTCAACTAATTATTTAGTAACTAGTTCCACAGAATTTTGACATTCCGTCCATTTCTGACTTCAAAGTGTTACCTGAATTGTTATTTTCAGTTGGCTCAACTTTTACTGAACTAGTTTTATAGTCCATTCAACTAAAATGTTTAATTGGTTGAACATTTAGAAAATGTAACCATTTACTCCATGCGCTTCATATGTTACCTCAACTAAGATTTATTATTTGAGCATCATAAGAAATTGCTGTGGAACTAATTATTAAATTTTATACTGAGTTTAAGAAAAGTATTAACTGGTGTCTATCAATCACTAAAAACACACATATTATAACACATAATAGCCTTTATTTAATAACAATCTGCAATTATAACACTTTTCATAAAGACTAAACATGCAGGCTTAAAGGGACAGTTAACACAAAAAATGAAAATTTGCTGTTAATTAACTCACCCTCAGGCCATCCAAGATGTAGGGGACTAACCGTTGTCTTTGGCAATTCATAAACTGCACATCTGTGGCTGCTGGTTTTTAAGAGTCAAAAAACATATTTAAAATAAAACAGACAAGACCAGATTAGTAGTGGCTCCTGATGACACATTGAGGCCTTATGAAGCAAAACAATCACTGTAACATTAATTTGATCTTGTCTGTATGGTTTTTTTTTTGTTTGTTTGTTTGAAAACCAGCAGCCACAGATGTGCAGTGTATCACCAAGGATCACCATTTAGATAAAAATCTTCTTTACTGTTCTACTGAAGAAAGTCAACGACATCTGGGATGGTCTGAGGATCATATTCATAAAATATTTGCTCCAGTTGTCAAACATTAGATTTACAATACAACTGCAAAATTAATTTTAAACATTTGTTTAATGAACTTAAAAAAAAGACTAAACAAGCAAACAAACATTTACAAATATTACTACTTTTCACAATTACATCTTTAAAATGAACCAGGTGTTGCTGTGAACTGAGTCAAGTAAAGTCAAGTCACCATTATTTACAGTATATGACGCTTTTTACAATTTAGATTGTGTCAAAGCAGCTTTACAGTATTAACCAGGAAAATAGTGTGCCGAAGGAACCAAAACTCCATCGTTCTCCTCTGGCCAGACAAACCAGAAGTTTATTTAATTCCAGGCTGCAGCAAAGTCTGACTGAGGATTCATCTGGTTCCCGTGGTCTTGTCCCGATGGCCGTCTAGTTGGCGCGGCCTTTGCAGGGGAACTATCTCTGGGGCTCATCTAGTTTTCATGATCTCCACTGACATTCAGGGCCATCAAAGTCATTTCTAGGTGCTGATCCACCATCTGGTCTGGATACAGACTGGATCTGGTGGCTACAGGGAAGTCGTGGCCTAATGGTTAGAGATTCGTACTCGTAACCCAAAGGTTGCAGGTTCGAGTCTCATACCGGCAGGGATTGTGGGTGGGGGGAGTGAATGTACAGCGCTCCAGCTTCAATTCCACGACTGAGGTGCCCTTGAGCAAGACACGGAACCCCCAACTGCTCTCCGGGCGCCGCAGCATAAATGGCTGCCCACTGCTCCGGGTGTTCACGGTGTGTGTGTGTGTGTGCACTAAGGATGGGTTAAATGCAGAGCACTAATTCCTAGCATGGGTAACCATAATTGGCTACATTGACGTTGAAAGTACACACATGTAGTTTCAGTGGAGCGGTCTGGTCACATGGCAGTGTTTGGTGCCTTGGAAGAACTGACTGGGTTGCATCTGAAAGCTTGCAACGATGACAAAGCATTAGTGAAACCTTTGGCTTTTAAATCATTTACAATGTAAAATATCAGTTAATTACATTTGTGACGAAACAGAAGATGCACCCATTTTTTGTTGTCATAGATAAATACGAACTGTGCACTGATTCATTACCTAGGGAACTGACTGAGATGCACTCTGCTTTGATAACAGCCTTGTGAAAGGATTCAGTGGTTCATTTTCGTTTGGAATGACGAACTCCTCTTCCGTCATATTAAGCAACATGGCTTATAAAGAAAGACCACGTGATCTCTTAATGCGATCTTATCACTTAGCGGAAACACAAAAATATCATACAACATGCCAAAATTAAACCTAAAATTCATTATAGTAACACAGCTTTTGACATTAAGTGTTTTATGGATTAAACAAAATGAAAGACCACGTTCCCTTCCCTTACGAAAAATAAGTTTATTCAAGTGTGCTATTAGTATACTTCTTTTAAACTAAAAAAATAGGAAAGTATACTTTTAGTCTACTTTTTATGTACTTCTCAGAAATGGGCTTTATGTACTTCTCAGAAATATACTTAAAATGACATTTAAGTATACTTGACTTATAGCCTACCTAGAAAAAGTCTAAATATATTTTACATCTCTCTATTTATATACGTTTTGAGTACAAATTACCTGACGTGTGAACTTGACGTAAACTTAACTTAAATGTCCACTTTTCTTCAGACATACAACTTATAAAACACCTCTAAATATATCCACTCAAAAACATTGAATATGTTGTACAATTTTGTCGATAAATTTAGTCTAAAAAATAACATTTATTTAGTACAACTTACCTGACGCTGGAACTTGACAAAATGGCGGCTGCTGTCTCTTCCGCGAAGTCACTCAAGCTGCCGCATGTGCAGAATGATCTCAATATTGCCTGGATTTGTTTTAATTAGTTTAGTCAACTTTGGCATTCTGAATGTTGACTGGATTTGAAAATAACCCTTTATGTAATGTTGTTAAAATATATTTTTGTAGACTGAATATGCCATCTCAACTATAAGCCCTAGCAATAAAATTATAACTTAAATGTCCACTTTTCTTCAGACATACAACTTATAAAACACCTCTAAATATATCCACTCAAAAACATTGAATATGTTGTACAATTTTGTCGATAAATTTAGTCTAAAAAATAACATTTATTTAGTACAACTTACCTGACGCTGGAACTTGACAAAATGGCGGCTGCTGTCTCTTCCGCGAAGTCACTCAAGCTGCCGCATGTGCAGAATGATCTCAATATTGCCTGGATTTGTTTTAATTAGTTTAGTCAACTTTGGCATTCTGAATGTTGACTGGATTTGAAAATATCCCTTTATGTAATGTTGTTAAAATATATTTTTGTAGACTGAATATGCCATCTCAACTATAAGCCCTAGCAATAAAATTAGTTAA